CCTGGCGGTGTCTTCTTATGCGCTGCCTCCCGGTTGTTAGCCAATCGGTACGATCCATCCACCCTGGATGCACCAATCATGGAGGAGCACCTGCACACTCAAATTTACATATTATAATTACGACAACAGTCATAACAGTGGACATTAGGTAATCTCCTATAGAAAATTATTCCGCACATATATAAAACAGGTCCGCTCTGAACCGTAGTAAAGGGTTTTATACAGATATTACAATTTAAAAAAATTGTCTGTCTGATGCCAGTGAGAGGTTAGGCTTTAGAGCAGTGTTTCCCAACCATTAGAAGAGATGGCACATATTTCATGCAGCAAACACCAAACAAAAATGTTACAAAAAGCATATTGATAATTTCCCCCCATGCACCAGGCATAGCAGAATTGGCTCAGTTTGTCCCCAGTATACCATTTTTGCTTTCTTCTGGCCACTACTCGTGCTAGGGCCTTCATCTGGATCGGAATTTTTACTCCATGACCCAGGTCAGATTGACTACTTTTTCTTTTCAAATATTTGTCACATGACTATGTAATTTCTTCTTCATATTCTTCTGTTTTACTGGCAGTTGGCAACCCATTTAATTGGAGCAATAAGTTGTACTGCCCTCTAGTGGAAGAGAATGTAATTATTCTGCCTAATACTCATGCCGGTCGCTTAAAGTACCAATCAGGTGAAACCAGATAATCTTCCACGGCAGACCTGATCATTTCTCACAGCACACCTATGTGCCGCGACACAGTGGTTGGGAAACAACGCTTTAGGGGGATAAAGTTTTTAGACTATGTTTAGTGCCATCTTGTGCCCTTACAAAACGTGACATCATTGGATTGGCTGGTTAGTTTCTCGTAATAGATTTCCAATAGCTTATGTTAACTAACTAGTGACAGAAGTTATAATTCAGTAGAAAAAACTAAAACTGAAAAACAGTCTAAGGGGGTCACTTTTGCACTACCGCTGGCTGCAACAATGATTTTATTTTATTTAAGGCTATGTTGTCCACTTTTACTCAGTCTCTTAGCAGTCAGTGATTGTCTGTTGTTTGGCTAACTGAACTGAAGCAAGAAAATCCTCCTATTAGTTGTAATGTCATTGTTTATAGAGCACTTTATAAATGTGGACAGTTTGTACATGAATCACAAAAAATCAGCAAGCCTTTGATGGGGAGGTTATTAAAGTGTTTTTGGTGGTTGAAATGGGACAAACACTGGTCATGTTTACTTATTTGGGTTTGAATCTTAATTTTCCACTGTCCTCATGCAAGCTGATCAGGGACGTTGAAATGGGTGTACAATACGGTCTGAACGGAAACCTTACTTCCTTTGTCGCAGACATGTGAAAGCTAAGGTAGACTAAAGGTACTCACAATTAATTTTGTGAGGCCATCACAGTAATATAGACATATAGACATAAAGTCATACATTAATGAATACAAAAACAAGGGGTAACAGAATATATAAAGAACAACCTGATACATCATGTTTTCAGTAAAATTAAAAACAAGTTCTTTATTAGTTTATTTTCAGTGAATGACATTGGTACTCAAAGTCAACCCACAGTTTTTCACACACACTTTCACATTCTGCATTTAACTTGAGAATAAACACTTTCTTCAGTTTCCAGTTCATTCTTCCTCTTCTTTCCTCTTGTAGCTTTGCTTCCAG